TGAACTTAATTGGTTATTCAGATAGTGATTGGGCTGGAAGTATAGATGACATGAAGAGTACTTCTGGTTATGCTTTCTTATTTGGATCAAGCATTTGTTCTTGGTTATCAAAAAAGCAAAGTGTTGTTGCTCAATCCACTGCCGAAGCAGAATATGTTTCAGCATCCAAGGCTACTTCTCAAGCTATTTGACTTAGGAGAATATTTGAATACATTGGTGAAAAACAAAAAAAAGGGACTGTTCTGTATTGTGATGACAAATCAGCAATTGCAATTGCCAAGAATCTAATTAGCCATGAAAGATCAAAGCATATTTCCATCAAGTATCATTTTATCCGAGAAGCACAAGAGAAAGACGAAATTCAGTTGCATTATTGTCAGACAGGAGAACAACTTGCTGACATCTTCACCAAAGCACATCCTAGAGAAAAATTTTGCTATCTTCGAGAACGCATTGGAGTTATCAAGCAAATGCATTAAGGGGGAGTGTTGGAATTAATGTATAAATGTTTAGTCTTCCAAAATTGTCTCTTAGTTTTTCAACAAGTCTTTTTAGAATTTCGTAATACATGTATCTAGTAAATTGTGATACATGTATTTAGTTATTTGTGCAAGACTTTTTGTTTTCTATTTTGAGTAGTATAAATAGTGATGTAACTGATGATTGTAATCATCTCAAATGACCTTAAGTAGCCTATAATAAAATTGAGCATTTTCTAAAGATATTATTTTTCCTTCCATATTTCCTACAAGTTGGTGGTATCTATCTTGCTAAAAAAATTTAGATCCTCCCAGTTACGTTCATCCAACAAGTCTTCCACTATTGGAATGTGAAACTTGTTCAGATCTTTATAGTCAACAACAACAAACTCCATGTACCATCATTTTCCTCCACCAATAATACCACGGGTGCAGCAACTTGGCTGAACAATACCTTGATCCAACAATTGATTAACCAAGGTTTCTATCAACCGTTGGATACCTGTAAGGTCTTTTATCAATAGGTTCAGTTCCAGATACATGTAACACAATCTTATGGTCAAATATTGATCTAGAGGGACGTAGTTAAGTAGGTTCTTCCAACAATTTATCTAACTCAACTAATATACTGGATTGACTAGTGTCAGTTTCAGGTGAGCTAGTGGCTTCTAATGCATACCATTGTACATAATTACACATGGAATATTTTAGCCAACTTCCCAGCTCTTGCTCAAAATATGCCTGCCAGATCATCTTAGCACATACCTCTTTCCCATGTACATGAACTCCTCCGATCCATTGTCAATTCCTTAAAGTTCATCTTGATGTCACCAAGACCCCAGCAAGCACTACTCCACAATTTCCCAATGGCAGCAACAAAAAATGACAAAAGGGTTCTACTCCTCATAGTTCTATTAGCTGCTGCAACCATATGATGAATGGTGGTAGCAATAAATGAAAATCCCAACTTATCCACCAAGGAGGGATCAATAAAAATTAGTTATTACAAATATATAGCATGTATCCACAGGCCGGAGGATTTTGGCCTGTTTTAAAAAGAAAATTTTTGTGGAAAAATTTCCAAGTTTTAACACGACATATTTAAGATGTCAGTTTCTTCCATTCTTTAGTTTAAGACCACAAAATTCAACATCTTCTTTACTTTGGTGAACTCTGTGTCAAATCAAAAATAAAAACACAGTACAACAACATAAATTATTATGAAAAGAATAAAGGAGTTAGGTTGAGTCATATTATTAGTGTGAAAGTTTTTAAGATTAAATAAAGCTATCTCCATTTGTAGTGTAAATATCATATATTCATATACAGGTAGGTACCAAGAATGAAACAAATGGAAGAGGAAAGGATTTGTGAAAGAAATTGCAAGTATATTTGAGAAAAAGAATTAAGAGGGTACCAAGAGGCATGATGAGGATCAGCATCATTTGGAGGTGGAGGCAGATAGACACTATCAATGGTGACATTAGGGGCGCGAACTTTGGCTTTTTCTGCATACTCTTTTTTTGCATCCTCTACAACTGATTTAACTAATGAAACATCCATCTCCCTACACCTCAATAACAATGATGGCTCCTTAAGTCGCAACAGACTCTAAAACAAACAAACAAAGAAGAAGAGTTATGATTGCATATTGCAGATCAAAACAACGTTTATGGATTATACTATATTTACCTGAACAATCAATCCTCTGAGAATCTTTTTGTAATTGTTTTTTTCACCTGAAATCTTTAAAAGTGCCTTTCTAGCAGACTCCTTCATTCCACTCACCACGTCATCTTGTGCTTGCAGAACTTTGATGCGGGATGCATTTAGTTGCATAGAATACTCTCTAATTACAAAATAACAATTCATATATTAACACACACAAAAAAAAACCAACAACTATATTAACTCTCATCCTATATATACATTATAATAATTAAAACTCACATTTTCTTACGTACTTCCACCTGCTTGGTTTTCCTCTCATACTCTTGTCTCACCTTTTTCTTCTCAGCTTCAACAAATTGTAATTTTTCAATTTGAAATTCCTGCAAAAATGCAACATTAATATTCAACTTTATTATTCACATAAAAAACTAACAATATAATCAAAGTAAACCTCCTCAGCGGAGACAGAGATCTCATTGGCCTTCTCTTCGGCTTCCTGCCGAATGAATCTAACCATTTGCTGTATTTGCTTTGATACATCAGTGTCATTCATTTTCTTTAATTTCTTTCTAAAAAATTATGTATGGATTTACATATACATTAATAATTTATTCACTACTTATATTATTTTATGTGTAGATCCATCTCTTATGGACATAATGCGGTAAATTTACACGTTCAACAAATCTTCTACTCTTTCTTTTTCGGCTTTTACGCACCCCCAACAACTTATACACTTTGTTAATATCTTGTTACGTTGAAACAGTCCATTCTCATTATATCCAAGAATTTATATTATAATTAATAAAAAGAAATATTAGAGAATAGAATTTGAGTTAATTTACAAGGTTTAATGTGCTTGCGTTAATATTTTTTAACGGCTTTCATTGACTATTAGGTCAAAGTTGCTTCTTATGTTTTTCCAATCTCTCTATAAATAAATCGAAGATGAGAAGTTTGAAATTAAAAGTTGCAACCCTTGAATACTTGATCTTTTTGGCATATTTATTTCAATCTGGAATTTAAATTTTACCTATTTTATTTTCCTGAAACATACAATAGCTCCTCTATTGCTTTAATGTTCGAAATATCTTTTCCACCACCATCATTGATGAAGCAATGTTTATCCACAAAGGAAATTATTGGTGTAAGGTATCACAAATACAAAAAATTAGAGTTGAAAAATAATATGAAAAAAATGAATAAATAATTTTTAGGATGAGACATAGATATCTCGCTCTATTGAAGGAGATTCATGTTCATTGGGACATAATCTACACTGATCTAGCAGTAATACGCTTGACTTGTCCACTCCAGAATTCAACATCCCAACAATGTTGTACAACTCAAACAAATCTAGATTAATTGAAGAGTCAAAAGCTCCACATAAGAACACCTTCATTAAAACATTATAATTATTATACTCTCTTGTGTATAGTGAATATAGTTGAATGACATAGAATAGTTTTCTATGTCTCAACTCTCTCTTTCACTACTAAACACTACAATATTAATACACACTTGTTATTTTTTGTAAAGATACTTCACAAATGAAGAAATATCACTATTTATAGGTGAAGAAGTCTTCCCATATAACCGATAGGTAAAATGAGGGATAGTGATGTGGAAATATAAATGAGATAGATGTTACATGAGTTACAAAAAATACTAATGGTCATATGAGTTACAAGAAACTAATGACCATATTAGTTACAAGAACTGTTGACCATATAAGTTACAAATATCAATAGTCATCTTCTATCACAATTTATACTCAATAACTTATGCAGTCAACATTTTGTTTTATTAATAAAATGCGTAATACACCAACATTTCCCCACTCATTTTGATATTAAAATATATAAGAGAATTCACTAATTTAGTTGAAGGGTCTATTATGCATAATGAAAGTGTGTCATGCATTAAACCTTCATTTAGTAAAAATAATAATCTTTACTTCAAAGTCAGTAGTGGTCTCAGACTTTGACTACTTCAGGGAAATAAAGTATCACTGATTACATATGATAATCAAGGCGTTATTGGCATAAGATTTAATAGCCATCATATTACGGTCTTGTGCTATTACGGTTTCATGAGTATTTTCTGAGAACAAACTCATTCTCATAAAAACGACCTAAAGTTTGACAGCCCACTCATACGAGATACATAATTTCATTAAGAGGTAAATACTTAACCTCCACAAATCATTATAGAACTGCACTCACATCATAGAGATTGAATAAAATTAGGAATAGTGCATTTCACAATAAATAATCATATGATTCGTTCTTCCCATTGAACCTGGTTATAGGATCAATAGTCCCAGGTTGGATTTCTTCATATCTAACTTATGATTTTTAGCTTCAATTTCATCCCCCTCGAAGTGTTTCAAGACTCTTTTGTTAGGTAGTGGAGCCTGATTAATTTTAGATTTTCCTATTTGTTCTCTATTTTAGGTTTTCCTATTTATTCTCTATTTTAGGTTTTCCTATTTATTTTCTGTAACAAAAAATACTCTGATTTATTAATATAAATATACCTCACCGCCGTGGAAGTTTACTCACGAGGTGTTACCACGAAATATGGAGTTTTCTCTTTCTCTCTCTAGATCTCTCATCTCTTTCTCTTGAAAGTTCTTGTGTTCTGCATTCATCTAGTGTGTGTGTGTGAATTAGATCCTAACAACTGGTATCAGAGCTAATGAGATTCAACACGATCATAGAAGATGGATAGTTCGAAGCTTGGAATTGAGAAGTTTGATGAATCTGATTTCAATTTCTGGAAGATGCAGATCGAAGATTATATTTCAACCAATTTAAATTAAGAAAATTTTCCTTCATAATAGCCACCCCCATATTACATATTTTACATGTGTTAAGGTGCACTGTGTCCTCGGAAGAACTAGAGGCATCATCAGGTAACTTTTTTTTTCATCTTTTATTACTTTCTAAAGCTGGGCAAGGCGCCTCCCCCAGAACAAAGCCCACCCACATCACATTTTTCCAAAGAGGAATTTTTAAGCACTTTGTAGCTATCATTGTTTACCTTTTCACTCAACCATCTCTTTTTCTTAAAATTGATAATTAGAATAAGTCTATACAATAATGCTCAAGGAAGCAAGGTGCAAAAATTAGGAATTCAATAAATAGTCAAGGGCAAAATATAACAAAAGGCTATAGGCTCAAAAAGGATAACTAGTGATATAATATCTGAAAAGGATAAAATTAAAAGATAAATAAAATAAAGCCTATTATCATCTCCTAAAAGAAGCATCGTCTTTTATTTCGTTTCAATAACATGAAGGGCAAGTTCTAGACTAAGATGCAAAACAAGAAATAAATAAAATCTCACCACATATGGCACACGTATCAATCAAGAAGGACCAATTTCACTTCTAAGAAAGACATGATCATAACAAACTACAAAATAAAATAAGTTATATATAAAGTCACACCCATGAGTTAGGTCTCAAAGAGTATGTAATTTTTTTTCAAGCATTCACAAGAAAGTACTAATAAAAAATTAGACCTAATAACAAGTATCACACCAATGAAAAAAGTCTTTTACTTTCTCTAAAAAATAAATAAATAATAAAAAAACTTATTCCTAAAAAAATAAAAGATACTCGGTTCAAATGGATTATCCTCGGGAAAAAAATCAAAAACAAAATGCGAGGAACCCATCCTAATAAAATACACAAATTAAGAATTTATTCCTCTACCCTACACTCAAAAAGATGCTATGTCCTCGAACCATCAAATAAAAATTTAAAACAAGGGTTAGGAAAATTTGTTGAGGCCTTTGGGCCTAGCTAGTAGCATGTTTTCTCAATTTTCATCAAGGGTCGTACGCACCCCACATTTAAGCTCCAATGTGCTCCTTGGCTTCAAATTTTGGATAATCAGACTTCTCCAAAATCTGTAAGAACAACACAAAATAATAATACTAATAATAAAAAATAAAACTAAGAAGTTACACTATAAATTAGGTTGCCTCCCAATTAGCGCTTACTTTAACGTCGTGACACGACACAAATAAATTCACCACTTTCTTCCACTTTGAACTTATGACTTTTATCCCTAACTTTTCATATATTTTCTACTCCTCTCAAGAGGTGGTGGTATAAATATAAAGGAACCAAGTATAATATGTCGCATCTTGCACTTCTTGGTCCTTAAGTGAGAAATATTGTTCGCTACGTTGACTAAAGCATTAGAATGTAGGATCCTTGTTCCACATCAATGCACTCATCAATTGGTGCAGATTTAGTAGAAAAGTGTTTGAATGAGATTAAAGTTTCCTCAACTCTAAAGCAACATTATTTACAACATTCTCACTTTTGTACTCATTATTAACATCGATATTAAGGAATAAAGTATATTTGAATGGTTGAGCTTCCTCTTTTTGTTCCATTAGTTGGTAATAATTCAACACAATTAATAACTGGGCTTCAAATGCCTCAAGCTTTGTTTCATGTGAGCCTCTATGTCATGAATATCTGAGTCAGATTAATCGATTTCTTGTGTGAGCTCACCTTTTTCTTCGACCAGTTGGGTTGTCATATATAACAGTTCATACGAGAGATACTATTCAATCGTTAGAAGTTGAATTTCCCCGGTAGCGACATCAAAAACTTGTTGCTCCCAATTGAACACGCAAATGTACGTGGTCGCACAAGTAATTCAGTGACTCTTAAAAAACCAGATTATCGATCTCAATGGACTTGTCAAATAACTATTTTTACTAAATTATACTAGTCTAAATATTTATTTAAGAATGCCAATATAAATGAATGAAGGAATTAAATAATAAAGTCACTTATAATGATTGGAAAACCCAGGGCTACAACATATATTGGATTTCATGTATCATATTTTTGATTTAGAATTTACTTCAATTGTCAAATTACTGCTTTTTTGGGTTGATAGTATAATCCGGGTTACACGCCTCTCGTCGCCTAACCCTATTAGATATCTAACCACATCATTGAGCAGGGATAAATAGACTAACTGGCGAGCTTTTATATATCATTGGTTTTTGTAGCCAAGCAAAGTGTTCGTCTTTCGGGTGTCACTCCTGAGCCTAATTTTCTCAATTTAATGGGCGGACTGAACTCTCTGTGTTCTCTGGTCTATCTAATCTCTCCTATGGTGAATTCAAGATTAGGCACTAGATTTATTTCTCTATGGCGAGTCAAGAAATACTAAAATAATAATATCGAAGTAACTTATAATGACAACCAAAAGTTTATTCAAAACGCTATTAATAATCAACATTCAATCCGTAGCCATAGCCCAGAACAAGGGCTTTAGCTACTAATATCTGATAAACAAGAAGAAGAAAAGAACCCTAAAAAGTATTGTCGGCTTTCTCTTACAAACTACCTCTTCTATATTGCTGCTCAAATAATCATTTCTATGGACTATTTGAAAAACCCTAAACAAAATAACTGAGTCCAAATTAATTTAGAAGCTCAAAATCTAAAAGGAGTTGAATTCCATTTTATTCGCCGTGCTTTCCAAATTTTTGTGCTTGTCGCCTGACGCTCCTTCTCCAATTTTAATTCTTCATTCTTACTTTATAAAATGTATATATTATATTCAATTTAATAAATTAAGCTGCCTGCTTAATTTCCTTCTTCAACCTTCCATCTTATATTCTTTTTAGCTCCAAATTTCTTTATTTTTCCACCAATTTAATTCTACAAATAAAATATAATAGTTAGCACATTCTATAAAATTCTTGCTAAAAAGGAAAAAATATATATAATAAATGTAAGGTAAATAATGATTAAAATATATATTTTTGGCCTCACATCATATTTCACAAGCTTTTCAATATTATGTGACTTGACAAGAAAAATTCCATCACATGTTTTATGGTATTTGTCATTTCAAGAATGAAGTTTTTATCACCCAAAATATTTTATGTTATATGGCTACTCAAAATGTTTTTTATAACTTATTTATAACTCTCGTATGAGAGACAAAAATCATCTCATTATTGCAAAACAACATATGATTTTCTCAAAGATGGAAAAAACTTTTTATTTTTCCTCATTTCATGAACCCCCACTATTTTAAGAATTTATATATCATTTTTCCGTGACAAGTAGTATCACAATTTTCATGAAATATTAGGACTTAAGTTTTTTATTCTTTACCTTTTATCCACTTGAATTGTGATAGTAGAAAAATACTTTACCGTACACCTCTTCTCTTCCATCTCTGGAAGAGAACGACATTGAGCAGAATTATGTTGAGATCCCTATTTTGATATCCACACTTTTTTCAAACTGTAACGAAAACATGAGTATCCTTAAATTCTTGATATAATAGACCTCAAATACAATAAATTACAGTTGAAAAATAATACGAAAAAAAGATAAAATAATCTTTAGGCAGAAGCACATATATCTCACTCTCTTTTGATTCAAGCCCACTTTTGCATAATCTCTACCGATCAAGATATAATAATCTTGACTTTTTCTCTATAGGATACAACAACCCAACAACGTCGTACAACTCATGCAACTCCAGATTAGTTGAAGAGTCCAAAGCTCCACATAAGAACACCTTCCTTCAACATATAAATTCTCTATTGTGTATAGTGAATATAGTTGAAGACTTAGAGTAACTTTATATTTCTGTCACGATCCAAAAATGGACGTGATGACACTCTCATCTTATTCCACCAAGACAAGTCAGTCTAAAACTCGATCATTACAATAAAATGCGGAAATTTCATAAGTTACTCAAAAGTACCCCCAAAATCTGGTTGTCACGTGTACAAACCTCTAAAGTATTATAATTAATTCAAGAAAAAAAATTAGTCTCAAATTTGTTTCTCGAATAGAACAATATCATAAATAGGACTAAGAAGGTCTGCTGAGATAACATCTACCTCACAATTCTCCACAACAAGCCTCAGACAAGGAGAAGAGAAAATGTCACAAAGTCCGGGCTAGTAACCTACAAAAAAATGTAGTAGCAAGGGGTGAGTACTAAACCACTCGGTACCCAATAAGTAAACTTCTAAACACAATCTAAGGAGATAAAATATGGGTACTCCTTACACACCAACCAAACCTCCACAACTACAACCTACATAAAATTCAGCCCAACCTTACAGTTCACAGTTTTCATAGAAACCAGCTTATCAAAAATCATTTCAATAAATTTGCACATCCTCAACTACAACTCAATATTAAACAATTACAACTTTCACAAAAAGTCACTCACAATACCAGCAATACACAAGATCAAGTTCGTCAAATAGAGGTAATCAAACATCAAGTACTTTCCAACCATTAGTAAAACATATAATCATCAAGAATGAAGGATGTCATGGGATGTAATGCAATATGATACCATGAAATGATATGCCTCAGAATACCAATTTCTCTCTCAACCGTGTGTACATGATACTCCTCGGAAATACATCGAGAGTTCATGACCCATGGGGTACTCGCGAGGTCCATACTGACACGGACGGTCTCTAGGGGTCTGCGCGGACGATCTCAACGCACTATCATAATCAAACAAATTTCACACGGACGATCTCCACGTGCCCAAATCGTAATCATAACTTTTCTATCACACGGACGATCTCCACGTGGCCAAATAATCAATACTCAATCTCAACACGGACGATCTCCACATGTTAGACCTTTACTTATACCCAATCTCATGTCAATGCATGTCCACAATATGATATCAAATAAGTAGATGTTGCAACATCTCAATAAATCAAATGTCGCTATGACATATAATCACCTCAATTATCACAATTATATGGGTACAATAAAGATTAATCAATCATAATAAATCAAACCAATAATATATCGCTCATATTCTTTGGCATTCTTGGATTACAATCCGCATTCTATAGTAATAAACCTTCCCATTATAACAACGATACTCTGATTATTCTCAACAAATCACATACAAACAAATAATCTCATTGTATTTTATTACGCTTTTTTTAATTAAAATTAATCAAGGTGGATAAGTCAACACATTACCAAGTCTCATTACTCCCAAACATATACCACAAGGAAATACACGCATTCGATACACTTAGAAAGAGTTTAGAAATTCACTTGCCTCAAATAGTAGAAAAATCACTTCCCGACTTGGGCCTTCCCCCTTCGGTAGTTCTACTCAAAGCAATCTATTCGAGTAAGGAATCACAATAAGATTTTGAACTAACAACACTTATATGTATATCTTAGACGCAAAACTCGCTCAAATGTATGATGAAGTTCCTAAAGCTTGATTCCAACCAATAGGTTAAATCTCATATTTTCCTAATTTAAAATATATGAATAAGTCATAATTTATCCAAACACTAAAGCCCAAATGGTTTTCATATTCTATAATATACTTAATATTTGATTCTATATCTCAATATATCAAAACTTGAATTATAATATGATAAATATAAGTTCATAAAAACGAAGTCAAGTCACAAACAATACTAAACTCCTAAATAAGTCCAATAAACTTCACGTACACATATTAACTCAATTGGTGAACCTATCCGATAATTATCACCTTCTCTCGTGATTCTCTCACCATTCGCCATGAATCTTAAATCATTGACCCAAAATTCATATTAAAACAACCTTACATCTTAAAGGGTCTATTTACTTATAATTTTAATTTTAATAACATAAGAAAAACAAATAAGGAACCAAAGAACCGGTGAAGGAAATAATATGCAGAACGAAATGCTTCCATTCCACTAATCATTAATTATCGTTGAGGAGTCCACCTTAGTCCCCACTAAACCTCAAATCAACCAAATTAATAAAGTGATCAACAATAATAAAAAATCAATTCCAATTTCAAATTCTTTAACAAAACAATTTATTATAGGATTGAGTCAATTTATATTTCAGCAATTACACATTACGAGTTACAGACACATAGCTACATAAGGCACAATTTGCTTACTTCAATGTTGTCGATCTCTCTAGTCGTTGTTCGCCGCACGCACAGGTAAGTCCTTCCTTATCTTTATTTCTTTTCTAGATTACTTAAAAGTATAAAAACTAACAAACCCTACTATTTATTTTATTTTAATATATATAGACCAACTAGTATAGTGTTTTTACTAGATTATGGACTTAGCCCATTAGCTACCAACTAAAATTAATTATTTTTAAATCACCCGTCAACTAAACAATCGTAAATAACAAATATCTTCAAAATTTTGAAATATAATTTCTTAGGTCATTACAATTTCTGAACTCACTATTTCACTACTACACACTATAATATTACTTCATACTTCTATTCTTTTTTGAGTTACTTCACAAATGAAGCAACATCATTATTAATAGGTGAAGATTCTTCCATAGAACCTATAGATAAAATGAGGGGTAGTAATGTGGAAAGATAGATGTCATAGATGTTACGTGAGTTACAAAAAATTATTGGTCATATGATTTACAAGAATTAATTACCATATAAGTTATAAGAACAATGACCATATAAGTTACAAAAACCAATAATCATCTTCTAACGATTACATCAGCTCTTGAACGATCTTTTAGTGTTTTTGGAGCTTATAAATCTTGAATAATCATTTTTGATTAAAAGTTGACGAAGATGACATCAAAATCCAATTCTAATGGTAGCATCAACTCTTAAAAGTTGACGAAGATGACATCAAAATCCAATTCTAATGGTAGCATCAACTCTAGAAGGGTAATTTTAGTCAAGTAGCATGGTCAACATGACTTTGGATGTTTTTAGTATGAGTCCGTGCGATAAGGCGTTTTAATTTTAACTTTAAGCCTAAGTTTGACTTTAGTTGACATCATATGAGTAAACGCTCTCTCATGAGAATTTTATAAGTTTAATTAACTCCGAAATGTCGAGTTTAGTCTAGATTGATTCTTCTTTTGTGTCCTGAGGTTTTTGATATTTTTCTGAGCCTTTTTGTGGTTTTGACTTAAACTAACATTTGGACGTGGGACCCACTTTTTGACAAGATTATGGAAATTTCAGCTATGCCATTGAGTCTGGAATTTAGAATTTTGTATGGTTGCATATCTCATTTGCGTGCATGGGGTTCAAAATAAGTTTGTAGCTCCTCGTAGAAGAGTTACAAAAAAGAAAAAGCTGAAATATGGTGCAACCATTTTAGTGACCATATTTTGGGATTTTAACGACTAGGTTTTTGGATTTTTAGCTACTAGATTTGTCTTTTAAAAGCCCCATTGCATCTCATTTCGAACTTCAAACCTTTATAACTCTCTCATTTCAAGTACGATTTTAGTGATTCTTGGGGCTACCATGAGTTGTTATTCAAGAAGAAGAAGCTGGAGTTAATGGAATTCGTATTTGAAGTTTTGTTGGAGGTAAAAATTATGATTTAGCTGCTGCCATAGCTCATTTTAGCTCAATTTTTTGGAAATTTTGGAAGATGATTTTGCTTGGCCATTTGGGTCATAATGGTGATTTAAGAGCCTATATTGTGGGATTTTTCGGGAGGATTGTCATCGTGTAGTTGGTTTCAGCAGTTGAATCCTCATTTTTTTGTAATTTATTGCAAAGAGCTAATGCCATTGTTGCTCTTATTAGTGTAATTTCACGTTTTTCAATGCATGTTCGTGTTGGGACTATTATGAGCAGGGATTAGTTTCACCTTTCTTTTGCAGATGTGGCTTAGAGACTAGGGAGAGCACTTTGCATTTTGGGTTTTTTCTGTCTCCTTGTTTTGATTTAGCTAGTCTTGTTGATTTTGAGACACACTTTATTGTAGTTCACTTTTGGGACTTGTACTCTTTATAAAATAGCTCTTTACTACTAATAAGGGTATAATAAGTGCCATCACGACTCGAGAAATTGGGTTGTTACAAGTTAGTAGCAGATCCCTAGGTTCATTAGTCTCACTTGTATAGATCTACCATTTAGTACAGTCCCGCGGATTGATGCGGAGACGTTCGTAACATATCTTTAGGAGGATACATGATGTCCTTAGGAATATTTCCTCTTTTGTTTCACTTTCGTGTAGTGTGTGTCTTATTGGTTCCTTGAAATCTCACTTGTTTCGTAGGATGGCTCACCCGCAAGGTACCGCGGCCAGGGGTGACACACCCAGGCATAAAGACAGAGCCAAATATTATGGTAGACGCCGATCCTGAGGTCGTGGAAATGCCGCATCACCAGCCCGAGACAGAGAGGAGGATCTAGAGTGAGAAGTGGAACCTCCAACAATAAATATACCAGCTCCGGCAGTGGGTTCGGGGCTAGCTCAGCCGCCAAAAAAAACATTTCTGGCTCCAGATCTCCAGACCGCTATTGCGCAACACTTGGGTGTGCTTGGGGGTATGTCGCATCAACCCACCCCAGCTAGACCAACATTAGTGGTGCAGGATCAACCTATAGTGAGGGCACCTGAGGTCAAGGTACCATCAGTGAGAGTACAACCATTTACATCATCTAGATCTATGCCACTCAAGGACCAAAAGATGCTTGACACCATTGAGCTTTTCTGGGCTTTGGGTGAGGATGCCCACGAGTTTCCTACTGATTGTCATGAGAGTCTTCATACTTAGAGTTTAGTGGATTATACAGAGGTCAACGACATTGCTTACAATCTAGATAGTCCTACCAGGAAGTGTTGGTGCACGTTCATGAAGGTAAGGCCATGAGGATCTCTACAGGTATGGGATGAGTTTTTTGACGTCTTCTTGGCCAATTTTATCCCTTGCAGCATATGAGAGCGCATCAGGTATCAGTTATGAGGGTTGGAGAAGGGCTCCATGTTAGTGGAAGAGTATGAGACTAGGTTGCATGAGCTTCTCTATCATGGAGAGATGATATTACTTATAGAGGAAGATAGAGTTAGGTGCTTTGCTCGTGGGTTGAGATTAAAACTTTGACTTGAGACTCAGTACTTGTTTCTGTGGGTCAAACCTTTTAAGAAGTAGTTGACCATGTCATTACAATAGAGTATCATCATCGTGAGGCCCTAGGAGGAAGCGAGAAGAGGGATAGTCATGGGGAAGCTATGGTGACTCTCGCCCAAGACATTAGGTGTTGGTCGCATCGTTGCTAGTTCGAGTGAAGTTCCTTGAGATGTTTCAGTCGGTTTCTTCAGGTCATGGTATCTTTTTTTGGAAGTCATCCTCGGAAGAATCGCTATAAGTGTGGTGGTGTGGGTCATTGGTCCAGGAACTCCCCTTAGCACAGTCAGATTGCGTCTTCTCCTCAGGCAACTCCCCTAGCTTTACCTGCACCTCTAGCTAGATTCATGGTGAAGTTTAGGACCATAGAGGTGGTCATCAAGGTAGATAGGATGGTCCTCAGGGAGGTAGGTCAAGTGGTTTGTTTGATGGTCGGTGTAAAGGCGGACATAGCCCTTACTATGCAGCTCCAGCAAGGGCGAAGGGAGAGGCATCAAACGATATATAAGTACAATTTTTTTAAGCCAACAACCTGCCGTGGATTTATTTGATCAGGGATATACTTTTTCATATGTTTCTATTTGCTATGCCTCTTGCTTGAGTTTGAGATCTAAGACTTTGGTAGCACCGTTGTTTGTGTCAACCCTCATGTCTATAAGTGAGTCTTTCATAGTGGATCAAGTATTTCGATCTTTCCTAGTTACTATCTAGGGGCATGACACCTGGGCTGACCATATTTTTCTTGACATGGTTGATTTCGGCATGATTCTAGGTATGAACTGGTTGTCCTCTTGTTGCGCTTTTTAGATTGCCTCCCTAAGACAATTACCTTAGACATTCCTAGTATTCCTCCAGTGGTGTGGCAGGGATCTCTTAGTAGTACACTAGTTGGGGATATCTTTTGTATTCGGGCTAGGAGGTTATTGGCTAGTAGATGCTTATCATATTTGGACTTTTTGCGTGATGTGAGTAGGGAGGTCCTTTTGATTCAGTTAGCTCCTGTTATTAGTTACTTATTAGATGTGCTTCCTACCAATCTACCTAGCCTACCCCCAATGCATTATATTGATTTTCTCATTCAGCTTCAGTCAATTACTCCACTAATTTCTATTTTGCCATATTAGATGGCTCTTGCAGAGCTCAAAGAGCTCAGTGTTCTGCTTCAGAATCTCTTGGGTAAGGTATTTATTAGACCTAGTGTATCAAATTGGGGACCTTCTGTTCTTTTTGTAAAGTAGGATGGTATAATGCACATGTGCATTGAACTTAAGTAGTCAAATAAGGTGATAATGAATAATTGATATCCTATGCCTAAGACTGATGACCTATTTAACCAGCTTCAAAGAGCTTCACTTCTCATTAATATTGATTTGAGGTCTGGTTACCACCAGTGAGGGTTAGGGCAATGAATTCCCTAAGATTGTATTGAGGACCCGTTATGACCATTATGAGTTCTAAGAGCGGTTTTTTAGGTTGACTAATTCACTTGTTGCCTATATGTACTGGATGACGTGCGTGTTCAGGCCTTATGTTGATTCGTTCGTCATTGTCTTTATCAATAACATTTTTATATACTCAAGGAGTAGGGGTGATCATGAGCAACATTTGAGTGTTTTGCTCTAGACTTTGAGAGATCATCGAATTTATGCCAAGTTCTCAAAGTGCCAATTTTTGTTAAACTCTATAGCGTTCCTGGGGCATGTTGTGTCCAAGGATGGAATTATAGTAGAATCGACAAAGATTGAGGCTATTTGTGATTAGGCTAAGCCCACCCAAGTTACTGAGTTTCGTTGGATTAGTAGGCTTCTACAGACAGTTTGTTGTGGGTTTCTCTATCTTATCAATGCCTCTAAGCCGGGTTACTGATGTTGATGTTCTATTTGTTTAGTTGGAAAAGTGTAAGGCGAGCTTTTTGAGGCTCAAGGAGTTACCGACCACCAGTCATATATAGACTCTTCCAATTGAAAATGAGGTCTTCACAATTTATTGAGGCATATTTGGCGTTGGTTTGAGTTATTGTCTTGTGCATCGAGGCAACTTAAGTTGCATGATTGCAAATACTCCACCAATGACTTGGAGTTGGAGGCAGTAGTTTTCATGCTTACGATTTGGATGAACTACTTGTAT